ACAGGAGAATTAACCACTCCCTCAGAATATCCATCTGTCAATCACCTATCACTTTCAGGAGATGTGTATCTCATAACTTGAAAGAGGTCATTTTAAATAGCTAGGAGTGGACTATTGTTTTACATGTGATTAGTAATTTTCTGGGTTCATAGTAAAAAATATAGCATATGCTAAGAATATAACTGAGTCCAAGAAATGTTGCATAATTACATGAACTCCACAGCTACATTGTGTTATTGATAGAATTTATGCTTATTAGAACCACATTCCAAAACTCTCTGGTTTGAGGAAATGTAACCTGGCAGTAACGACCTTCGAAGACAGAATATTGGACTACATGAACCTTTGATTTGGCACGGCAATGAACTATGCATGTTTTCATGAAGGGTCCCTCAGTTTTCCCTGCACTGAAAACAATATAGCGTTTAATTTTTAGACAGGCAATTATATGCAGATAAACATTTCAGTCTTCTGGAAGCATTGCAAAAGTTATTATCCTAGCAAATAAATATGTACAATTCAATGCCCTAACTGTAACATTGTTAAATCAGAGCTATTTAAAATGATGAATTCCCTACATTTTAAAGCTTTTACAGCTAAACCTTGAATCGATAAACTTCCTGGGGCTTGCTTAAACAATAGCTATTAATCAAAAATGAATTCCAGTTCTTTAAAGTTGGATGGTCATTTTGCCTTTCTCTGGATAACTGTAAAGTTAGCGAAGACTTAGGCAGGGAGACACAGGCTGAAGTCTTTGCTGATTTCAGGATGTCATTAGTTCCCAGAAAAATGCAATGTCTTTAACTTATGAAATGAAAAGATCAGCCCTCACTGCTACCCACGGGATTTCTCTTCTACTCCCCACATGGAAAAATTATCATCTTAGTTCCGATGTGCCACAAGTACTTCCTCTGTTTTAAAAGTCTCCATTCAATTTCATTACTGTGTTGAGATTGGACAAAACAAAGCTACTGAAGTCAAGAGTTGGTATAATCGCTGGGGGTTACTTCATAGCCCAATTTCACCAAAATTTACATTCCATTCACTCCTTAGTTGACGGAACAAGTGTAAAATAAAAATGCCTGAATTGAGTTGCACTTCCTTTCTACATCTCTGATGTCTTCTTGGTGACCATGCTCAAAAACAAAGCCCAAAAGAGAAAAGGCAAAGAGAAACCAAATAAAAGATCACACCAAAAAAAGAAAAATCACTTGGGTATAGCACAGACTCAAACTCTAAAATATTCATAAAGGATCCGGTGAAAGAAGGAGGTAAATTATTTCCTCTCCTATGAGAAATAAAAAAGATTTAAATTAGACGAATTTTTTCAGTATAAAGTTCAGGAAAATACCTAGCAAAGATTGCCTAGATTCCTATTATATTTAATAGGAATTGTGTTCTTTTAAAGTGACACAAAAGGAGCACAGATCTATAACTGATAAATTTACCAAGAGTATAGAAAAAAATCAACTTAAAAATAAAGTTTTCATTTACTTTTTAAGATGGTTTACACAGTAGCAGACTTACTTTGAGGATAAGTAAAATGAGATAAATAGAAATTTTAATTTTTTAAAGAACTTATGTTATGGTTAATAGTATTTTTAAGAATAGAGACAAAAATGTATACTCCAGACATAGCTACTAACAGAGAAGAAAAAAAAGGAAAATATTCTAAGAATGTAAAATTTTATATGGAGTGTATTTTTTCCATTCCATGTGATATCAAATTTAATAGCTTTAGGAAGCAGGGCAAACAATGTCCCTGATGTCTAGCTTTTAGTTTTATATAATGCCGATTCTAAGAAGACAGGTTTGCCTTACACGTACTGCATGAGTTCATAAATTCTCTTTTCTCCAATCAACTAGTTACATCTGCAGTCCAAGCATTTCTTTGCGAAAGGAATTAGAGCCAAGCAAGACAAAGAATTTGCTGATACACATATGTCACTCTAAGAATTCTTCTGACAAAGCCTCCATACCCACTTTAATTACTTCCCTACTGTAACAGACACTTTCCAATCTGCATTTATTCTAATCATTGCAAATCCAAAACCAACACAGTATAAAGCTGGCTAAATGAATGAATGACATTAGCTCTAGGCTCCAAGTGAGGCAGCATTTTGTAAGGCAGTGGGTCTCCAGCTTGCGTTTTATGCTGATACAGTATATTTCATTTTGAGCTCAATTCTTTACTGAAGGTTTGTTTAGAATAGAATCACAAAGCACCAGGCTTTAAACTCTAAAACCCAACTGAGTAGCACTCTCTCTCTCTTCCTCCCTCTCTCTCTCTCTCTCTGTCTCTCTCCTTCTCTCTCTCTTTCTCTCTCCCTCTCTCTCTCTCTCTCTCACACACACACACACACACACATGCACATGCACACACTTGCAGGTGGATTGAGGAGAAGGGAGAGAGTATATAAATGTTATGATTATGGGCAAAAAGAGTGGATCCATGTATGGATCACTAAATCACTGCTTAGGGTCATAAAAGCAGAATGTCAGTGCATGCATATAATAAATGTTATTTTAAGCAGTTCTTGACGCCTTAACTACTCAGTAATGATCATATCCCTTCCTATAAAGGGCTCTTTCCTTAATGTACCATCATTTCCTGATCTAGAGCCACCACTGCATCCTTGCACTGATTTAGTGTCAGTGAATAAATTCAGAACCCCAGAACAGTGACATCTTTATGTTATGAACACTGAATAGAGTGTGGAGTTTAGCTATGCTACGAAAAATCAGGAAAGAAAGCAGCCACTACCAAAACGTCTAGGCATCCTGAAATTATAAGTGACCCTCAATTCTCTTGAAAGCTTTTCCAGCTAGGGTTTTGATAGGGATTGCTTCTTTAGTTTACTTGTTTTTGATGGTAAGAAAGCCTTAGCATTCTTAGATGCTCATTTGCCTTATTTATCATATTACATATAAAGTCATTTTAAGAAGTAGCTAACCTTAAATATCTGCCAATTTCTAGGAACTACAGCCACTTTTCAATTTACAGAGATAATATTCTTAAATAATAGAATATATTTTAAGCAATCTTTTAAAATAATCATTATTTATCTTACAACTAAATTATATTTTTTACCTCCTCTGTTTTTTGTTTTTGTTTTCAGGACAGTGCTCAGGGATGGAGCCCAGGGCCTCCCACATGCTCGGCAAGTGCTCTACCCCTGAGCTACCCCCTCTGCTCTGAAACTATACTTTTAAACCCATGCCTATGTCTTATACTCTTATGACTATGAAAGATAACAATATACAATGTATCGATTATCATTACTGTCCTGTTTTGAAACTGTTTTATTGTTATTTTTATTTTTTCTTTCACTTTTTAAAATTAAAAAAAAAAGAATTTATTCAGAAATTGTGTGAAAAGTGTAAAATTACACCAACAAACTAGGATTTTGTTGTGGTTGTTATTGGTGTGTTGAGTGTAGAATATTTCGAGAAAAAAATAGAAAATAAAATTTACAGATTAAAATAGAAAAATAAAGTCACACAGCCTGGGATTTTTCTATACAAAAAAGAATAATCTAATTCTATAACTCCACCGAGCTCTGAAACTTTTAAGGTTTCCCCTCACTTCCTGATGCCCCCTCTGAAAACTGAGTCAGTCTGGTAGCTTTCTACCAAACTTCAAATTTATGTAAGATTATACATCAAAAAATCCTGAGCAAGCTCAAGCATAAAAACTGTTTTGAAATATTAAGAATACCAGTGACTATACTGCCCTGTTTTTCCCTTGACCTTCTGTGTTGAAGACACACTGCTTACAAAAATGACTGAATTATTCCTCCAGTCCTTGCAAAGGAGGACCGAGGCACCAGGCTCCTAAAGCTCAGCAGAATGATTTGGAAGGAAGTCCCTGCTAGGCATAGAGCTCCAGCTCCCTTTCTCTCTGCACATCCTACACTACTCTGCTTTGCAGGAAATTAATTATGGTCCATCCAATTCTTAATGCTCCAATAAGCTGAAAATTATTTATATCTATTTTGATAGCTAATAAGAAAGAACAAAGGTCAAATAATCCCATATCATATTATATGCTGTTAATGATGTAAAGGGACAGGTTATACATATACAATCACTTTCATATCTAGAAAAATCAGTGATAGACATATCATACTAGTACATAATATATACTTGCTCTACAAAAGAAAAATATAGTGGCATTTTACTCACATTTGTGTTTTATTGAGCCAAGAAAGTCCTTACCAACATCACATGCTGGAGTGACTAGCACCAGACACTAGTACCCATCTTACAATGAACACAGATTTCTTAGTGGAAGAGGCTAAGTCACATCATTAATATCCTATTAAGTACATATGCTTATTGTTGTCATGGTACTTATAGTACTTTTGTTTCTCCATTTAAAATTGAGGCCTGGGTTTTGAAAGGAAAGCAATGAAAATGCGCAATAAAATTTTGTTGGGGACCTGGTCCAACCACAAACAAAAAAATGCTGCTCCATCTCTCTATGGAGTGTCCTGACGATGTTAATTCATCATTTCTACCAGCTCCCAATAACCAAAAAGACAGTGCCAAATTAATGTTGAGTTCAATAATTTGGTAGCACTCTCAAACTTTAGCAGTATTTCATTAGAACAATATTTCAAGGGGGGATGTTTTATGTTTTTCTGTAAACATGGATTTGTCAGCTATTCAGCACTGGGCACAATTTCAGATCTAAATGCATCGTAAGAACAGAACAGGATGAGAAAGTAAGGTTAACTTAAAATAACATCTATGAGAACCTATCTCAAGTATTTCTAGAAATAATTCTATTATCATTTTTTAAAAAGTCATGTCTTCTTTATTGATGTTATATGTAATGGTACCTTAGTCAATGTAATACATAATTTCCATACACATAAGTTTTTTAAGACACTCAATACTTCATTTCACAGTTGTATCTAATGTATAGTATAACGTTCTATTAATTTTCAAAATTGCCTTTTTTTCTTAGTGAAGTCTTGATCTTTATTTTACTGTACCTGGAATTCTGAGGTTCTGAAACATCGGATTCTGTGCACGTTTTCTTTACCTGTAAGAAAACAGTTCCAGTTATTCTCATATGAAATTCAACTTCCTCTCTCAGGGTCACACACTTGTTAAAGTGGATACAGTGCAGCTCACCGAGATCTCTATAAAATACTCCTCATATTTTACAGCAACAGCATGCAGTACTAAACTGCCTATTTCATTATTATCCCACAAACAGCTGCCAAATGTACTCCCCTGCTTCCATTAGTATGTAAAATGTTCAACTAAAATAGCTGGGGACCAGCTGGGCTAAAAACAAAGAAACCAAAGAGCTAAGTCTCCCAGTTAGGAACTAGAAAGCCATGCTGTTCTCAGTCCACTAAGAAACATTTTTTCTCGATGATACTGCTTCTGTCTCCTGCAAATGCACACAATAATAATCAGGTTTGGAGACAGAACACAGTGTTAGCTGATATATCCATGTGCTAATTTTCATTTCTTTAGCCCAAGGACTGTATGTCTTATACAGTTCAGCATGTCATTTAAGTTCAGGTATCCCTCCTAGACTTCTCAAGTACATTTGCAGTACATTTCATGAACTGCATTACAATGTTGAGGTTTTTAACCCACAAAGAATAAAAAATGAAAATAACTCTTGGTTCTAGGGTATGCTATGCATTTCTGCAGAGAAGTATGGGGCATATCCTCTAAAATAAGGTAAGGCACACAATCATCATCTTTCACAAGTTAACTTCAAGCACAGGTAGCTACATCTGATTATTATGGTCTTGAAGTTATATGCATAATAGTGTTAATCTTAAAATGCCTTTAGTTAACATGAGAAGTGCACAATATACATTTATAAATCCACTGCCTTATATTCTAAATGTCCACATTGACATGGCCTATCTATGTGACCTACAGAATCCCAGAAGGTTTAGCTTCTAATATGTGGCTTCAAAGTGAAAAGAAGAGTCTACCGGATGTATACCATGGCTACATTTGCGGGGTGTGAGTCACAAAATAAATGGCAACACTAAAAAACAAGGTTTGAATCTTAAAGATACAGTATTACATGTATAGCTCACAAAGTAATTCTTCCCTTCCTTGACTCAGAAGGATGGCTAAGAATTAAACGAAACTCTCCACACTTACAAAAATCTGTGTATTTTCCTTGCCTTTCCAAGCCTAGACAGTGTAGTCTGGGAAATCAATTATTTGCTTGATTAACTTTGTTCTCTTTTCTGCTTCCTGTGCATACATTTATACTACGTGAAAAGAAAAACTGACTTGCAAAGACATTGCCACTCTGTCCTAGTCAGTAACTTCCAGGCCCTTACCATGGAATGTAGCATTTTGAGATGGAAGGGTGAAGAAATGTTTTCAAGAGTTATTACTGAAGAAGGAAAGATGTGGAGCAGGAGGAGGAGAGGGAGGAGGATAAGGTAGGGAGGGGGAAGGGGAGAGGAAGGCGAAGAAGACGCTACCATGTGTGGCTCATAGCTCTAACCCCAGTACTCTGGGAAGCTGAGACCAGGGGATCATAAGTTCAAGCCCAGCCTGAGCAACTTAGTGAATTGGCAAGACCCTGTCTCAAAATTAAAAGAACTGTGGATATAGTTAAGTGAGAAAGTCCTGGGTTCAATCCCTAGTACTGACAAAGGAAAAAAAAAGGAAGAGGACAGATATAATAATGAAGGTAAAATAAAATGAAAAACAAAGAGTACTTTTCTTGAAATGTCATCACAGAGCTTGCTGGAAAATCTATACAAGTCTTTGTTCATTAAAAATTTGTCCAAGAAAAATAAGAACCAAATGGGAAGGACTTTGGGAAAGAGAACTCTTTTTTCCCATTAATTCTTTTCCATGACTTATCACCAGAAACTATAGGAACTGCCTAATGAATACACAGAAATCTTCATAAAATGAATGACATTTTTCTGAAGACCATGATAATTTCACATCGGGACGAAGAAGCTCCAAGACACCACACAGGAAGAGGACAAACACGCTCAATCAAAACTCAAAGCCAGTAAACTTCCTATAACTTCAATACAAAATATTTTCAAAATGCTCATGGCTTTCCAGAGCATCATCCTCTAAATAGCTTTCTAGAAATTTTGATTATTTCTAAATTGCATCAAAGAAACTATCATAATACAGAGAGAAAATCTACTGAATTACTTATCATCTAATACAATATTCAAGCTCATAACTAATAACGGGAAAAAAGGATTGTATAACCTTTTAGATGTTGTTAGAGTTATGCATTAATCCATACAGGATGTTAGTAGAGTTTTGACTCATTTTCTCACAGTCAAGCGAGGAAAGGGTAATATTTAGGACCCCGTGACTATCATAGAGAGGTCTGTATAAAGTGTGAAGGGCGTTTGAAGAGCGAACTACCCTGGCCAAAGGAAGATGGCAACCAAAACAAAGAAAGTGGCTTCAGAATTGAGTCTTAAAAGACACAGACCTCAAAGACTCAGTGCAGAATAAACAGGCATTTCTGTCATGGGATTTGACAAAAGAAACAAGTGTGAAGCCCTTATATTACATAAAGAATTTGGAGCTAACCTTTAGGCAATGTTGATTACTGAAGAGTTTTATAGATATGTTTTCAGTAGAGATGGCTTAGAAGATACTAGAAAAAAGACAAAGAGAAGGCCAAAATATAGGTAAGAACATTATGCAATAACATAGGAATGCAGATGGTCTTGTCCTTGCGCATATGTCATTACATCCTTAGCCCTGAGAGGATGCTCCTCAAATGCTATTTTACTAAGAAAATCACTCAGCCTATCACTAAGAGATGGACAAGATCTGAACTAAAACAAGAGGCACGGAGGTGGGTATGGTGGTGTACCCCACTAACCCCAGCACTCTTTGAGGTGGAGACAGGAAAGTCACAAATTTAAGCCCAGCCTGGGAAAGCTAGTGACTGTACAAGACCCTGTCAAAAACAAACAAACAAACAAAAATTAGAAATGATACAGAGCTTTGGTTTTGTCTTTGTTGTTGCTAATTTTTTTGTTTTATTCTCTTTAAAATTAAAAAAAAAAATGCCTCAGGATGTAGCTCACTGCCAAGACCCTGGGTTCAATCCCAGTACTGCAAAGACCCAAACCATGGGGAGAAACAACAGGATATTTTTGAAAAATATTTCTGTGATGAAATGATGAGAATATAGTAATTGATTGAGCTATTAAGTGGAATATGATCTGATCGTTTCATTTGCCCTTGAAAAGAAATTTTAGATATATCAAAAACAACAAAAATACTTTGTGACATCTTCAGGTTGCTTCACATCCCTGTGTCTTCATTTTTGCTGTGCTGGTGACCAAACTCTGGGTCTTCCACAGCTCTGCAGGCGCTCTGTCATCGAGCTCCACCCTTAGGCCCCAATTTCTTATTTCTGAATTAATGGAGAGGAGGTAAATGAGCCATTAAGGAACCTATATACATATAGCATTTACTTGATCATGGAATGAGAAGTCAAAGGAACAGTTTTAACTAAGTGAAAGACTCTCCTACTTGAGGGGTTAATGGTGCTTCATGAAATGGCAAGCGTTGGGCCATATAGGCTATGAAAGAAAAGTACCTCCCCTAGAGTACGTAGAACCTCTGTCTTCAATGAAATACAGATTTGCTTCAGAATTGTTTTGAATAAAAGAGAAACAAGCAGTCCAAGAAATGAGGCAGAATTTCATGCCTATAATTGAAATCCAAATCTTAGTTTTCATATAACGTATAAGATAGTGGGCCAAAAATACCCCACAAAGGAAAAGATGAGTAGTGTCAAATGCATTCAAATTGGCTGCAATCAAACTAATTTCAACCTACTTAATGTATTTTCATGGAAGTTATAAAATCATGTGCCAAAGGAAAGCATGCTGAAGATTTTAAGCATTCAGTGAACAAACAAATACCAAAATACTAAATTTTTGGACAAAGAAATAAATAGTAACTAAGCTCCTTGCATATTTTTATATGCTTGACACAATGCTTAAGTAGATACTATTTTCCCCCAGTTCCAATATGATAATACTATAAGCCAAAATAAATTAATCGACATGCAAGTTATATAGCAAATTTCAAAGTCAGATCAATAAGGGAATTTTAATAAGATAAGAATTTAGAATTCATATACACATAAACTAAAATGAGTAAAAGAACATTCTTGGATCTCTTGCAAATGGGAAGGGGTCCAAGAGACAAAGGGGGAAGGGAGAAAGAGAGGGAAGGAGAGGTAAGCAGAATAAAGATACACCATGCACAGGAACCTCATAACCTCTGTGAATGGAAACAGTGTATGCCATAGACATGAGTGAAGATTAATAATGTCAACAAGAATGAAAATGGAGAAAAGGGATTTAGTGGAGGAGGGACGCAGGTGGAAGAGAAGGGAAAGGGGGTTAAAATGAAACAAGCTGTGTTATGTACATGTACCTACTCCCCAAGGTGACTGTTAGCTGCATCTACTGTGAACAAGTATAATGAAAGACATTTGTAAAAAGATTGAATTTCTATCATATCATCATAATGATATTGAATTTCTATATATCATCATAATGATTGTCATTTATATAACTTTTATTCTCCTTCTCTCTCTCTCTCTCTCTCTCTCTCTCTCTATATATATATATATATATGGTAGGTATGACAGATAAAAATCTTATTTTATGAATGAGAAACTGAGCTCCAATGTTGGTATAAAACATGTCCGTGTCCACTGCTGGCATCAGCACACCGGGAATTAGACTGAGGACTACATGTCAGCACTTTTGTTCCTAGGCTAGATTTGCCAGTTGCTTTTATTAGGTTGTCCTTTCTTTCTGTTAGCGGTATGGTTGAAATACACAGAAGATGTACATATCTAATGTGTACCACTTGATGAATTTGGAAGAATACACACCTGTCAAACCATCACCACACTGCTCTGTGATCACATCCATCACCTCTAAGTCTCTTCCTACCTCTCTATTTGTGTGTGTATATGTTTATGAACATGTTACATATGCATAAGATCTACTCTCCTAGTAAAATTTTAATTATACAATA